ACCCAAAAAAAGGGTCTAATTATGTGAATCAATCCAATGGGCCTTCAGGGGCAAAGTTGGATAACTTTTGCTGTGTGTTTCAAACATCCCCACCAAAAAACAAAAAAAACTCTACACCATACAGTGCTCCTGCCTGTTTTTTTTGTTAGTTCCTGTAAAAATGCGGTCGGTACCTATTTTTTTTCTCCCTTGTGTGTTTTGTATGCTCCCATATATAAGTTATTTAATCTGGTCATAAGTGGTATCTATTGAAATGTTCCATACTGTTTGTGTAAAAAAGTGCGTCTCTTCCTTCTCTCTCTCATTGTGTCTATCGGGGGGAGATCGGTGTTGTGTTTTTGGTTCTCCTATTATATAAGATTTTGGATGGTTCATAACGGGGCCGTTTCATGGGACCTGTCGGTACGTGTTTGCAAAGCGAGAAACCGGGAGGAATGCGATGAAAAGCCGGTAGAAAGAAGAGAAGTGAAAACAAAGAATGTGTGTGCGCGCCGCATGTCAGGCAGAAAAAAGCCATTTTCAATTTTTGAGCTAAAAATATTTTGGTTCCCTTGGGAAGAAAAAAAAAAATAAAACCGTTTTTTAACTTTGAAAAACTTGGAATTTTGGGAGTTATTTGCTTTACTTTGAATAAAAAAAAATAAAAAACCCAATTAATTTTTCTTTGGCCCTTTCAAAAATGTTTTGACGCATTTCCTGGGATCTTTCTCGGGCGATTTCTTTCAAACAAAAGTCCCGCCCAAAAAAAATTTGGGGTTGACTCAAATTTTTTTTTTGGCGGGGGCAACCCAAGCGCTTTCCAAGCTGCACCGGTTCAGGGAATCCCAGCAATTCTGCAAAATGTTTTTAAAAAAAAAAACGCACGATGGCGCACAACAACCAAGGCAGGGCAAAAGCTTCAGAACAAAGCGATGACAGTCTTCAACACTCTTTCTCTTGCGACACACGTGTCTGAGAAAGCTCATTATTTTTGAGCGCTGAAAAAAGGGGAAAAAATTCGGGTTTTATTCTTTGTTAAAATCTGTTTGGAAAAGTTTTTAGGGAATTAAGGTGCGTTTTCCAAAATAAAATGGCGGGATTTTCATTGACGGTTCATTTTTGTTAGGGCCAAAGTGGTTGGAACTTGGGACTTAAAAAAAAAATCAAACCGGGGACTCTCGACCGGGCCACTTTCGGTTTACACTAAAGGTCCCAAATTGTTTTTTTTTTTTTTCAAAACGGGGGAGAGGTGGGGGGATTGTTGGGCTAAGTTTGGGGACTTAAAATTCGAACGGGTGGCCCTACTTTTCCCAAGATACCGGCCCATTTCGGGGGATTCGTCCCGATGTGCCAGTTCGGCCCCAACTGGTCAAACCCCTCCCAAAATATAAAAAAGGGGGCCCCCCAGGGGGCCCACGTAAAAACTTGGTCCCAAATACCGGGGGGGGAAGCCTCCGGCTTGGCGGGTGGTGGGGTGGGAAAACGGGTTTGGGGGGGGGGACCCTAAGTTGTCCCCGATTTTCTGATGGTTGGTGAATTAAATTTTTTGAATTAAATAATTTTAAAAAAAATAATATAAAAAAAATTGCGTGGTTGCATTTATTTCCCCAATTCAGTTTTCTCTCTCCCCATAAAAAAAACATTTGTTGGGGTTTAAAATATAACCAAGAAAAAAATACCTCACCGGGGGTTTATTGATATAAAAAAATCCTATTTTGGGTTTTGGGGTTGGTAACTTACTGTTACCGAATAAAATAACCCTGAATTGGGTTTGGTTTGTAGTTTGGGGGGAGGTTTTTTTTAACTTTGTTGGTTTTGGGGATAATAAAATATGATATAAAAAATAAGTGTTTTTGTGTTTTTTTTTGTTTTTTTTTTGGGGTGGGTTGGTGGAACCCAGGGTGTGGAAGGGGGGGACCCAACCTTTTTTTAATTGGACGGCGGGCTCTTGGGGGGGGGTGGTGGTGGGGGAAAATAATAAACTGTCAATACGGGGGGGGGGGTGGGGGGGGGTGGGGGGGGGGCTTGGGGTGGTAAACCTCTCCTCTGGGGGTGGGGTCGGGTGGGGGGTCCTGGGGGGTTCTATTAGGGGCGTGGTCCGCAAAAAAAAAAAACAAATCTTTAACAATGGATTTGTTTTGGCCGTTTTTTTAGGGGGGACCAAAAATATTTTTAATTAATAAAAAAAAAAAAAAAGGGGGGGGGGTGGGGGGGGCGGGGGGCGGGGCTTTGGTCAAGGCCGGGGGGGGGGAAACTCCCGAAAAAATCCGGTGGGGGGTGGTGTGCCTTTTCTTTGTCTTTGGCGGGGGGGGGGTTGGGTGGGGGGGTGACTTATTCTAACTCCTCACAAAAAATTTTTTGCGGGGGTGGGGGGGGATTCATAGGGTCTCAAAATTTGTTTGTTTGGGTTGGGGGGTTGGGACGCGGGGATACCCAAAAATAAATTAAAAAAATAAATAAATAATAATGTGGGGTTGTGGCTGTGGTTTGTTTGGCAGGGGTTTCCCGGGGCAGATACATAGGTGGCGGTTTGGTGTGTTATTCTTATATATAAAACCCTTGGTTCCCCCCAACTCCCTTACACTCAACTCGCCCCACAAGTCTTTTACCCCCCTTCCCAATACCCCCACCCCCCCCACCCCAACTCCCACGGGCCTTTTCAAAAAATCAAGTTTTGGCATTTTTAAAAAATTTTGGGGCTTTGAAGTTGGGCTTACGGTTTTTTATTTAAATAACATTACTTTTTTGTTGGGAAAAAAAAATCTTTGGCCCGGGGGGCCCGTATTTTATTTGGTTTTTTCGTTCCATTTATTTTTACAAACAAAAAACCACCCGCCCCCACCCACCTTTTTGGGCCCAACTGATTTTTGAAAACCCGCCAACTTGGGGCACAAACACACACTTGCAACTGATAACACTGGCAATGATTTTAGATGTATTAGACTATTAAAAAAAGAAATCATGCTTCAAATAAGTGGGGGTACGGCGTACCCCCGCGTCCAACGCCCACTACACCACTGACTGCAACTACAAAAAGCTAAGGTTTGTTTTCTCATCAGGAAATGCAGACCGGCTCAAACAAAAGATTTTTAAATCATCATCCTCACGATCATTTAATGTATCATATGTTCGCCGAATTGACATGAAAGCACTAATAAATGTAGTTTCATCCACTCGAGTTTACAAAAATAATCGATTTGTTTTTATATCACATCCGACGGGAGGAAATTCAGCAGCTTTCACTACCGATTTTTAATCCTAATTTAATCATCATCTTCACCACGATCATTTATGTTTATGTTCGCCGAATTGACATGAAAGCACTGACAAATATGAATATACTGTAGTCAACTTCATTAAAACGTTATTAACGTGCCTAAACTCAGTAATTCACCATTTCTACGCATGACAACACTTTGTCCGTGTTTGGCTCTCTCGCCGCACAGTGAAGCGTTCCCGCATTGACGTCACTTCCGGCTTCCCCCAAAACCTCAAAATGAGTCGAAGGAATTTTCCCGCGATGTGTGTGTCTCTCTCTCTCTCTCTCTCTCTCTCTCTCTCTCTCTCTCTCTCTCTCTCTCTCTCTCTCTCTCTCTCGTGCAGTGTGGTGATCATTAGAAGGCACAGCTGGTTCACAATGAGGAGCTCCTGTACTCATCTAATCAACTCCTCCATAAAACCCTGGTCATGTTCACACTCCAGTGCCAGATAATTCCTTCTCACTCGGTAGAGCTGAACGTTGTAGTATCCTAGCTTAGTGTGATTTTCTGTTTTTGTTGAAGTGTAACCTTGTTTTTTCCTCTGTTTTTCCCAGTGTCTGCTCGAACCAGCCTGAGTTCTGCCGCCACCACCAGCGTGGACTAGATCCACTTTCATTTTGTGGATTGTTTTTTAGTTGCTCCTTTTTTTCTTTATTAAACTTTGTTAAAAGACTGTATCCATATACCCTGAAGAAAGTGCACTTGAAAAAAGATATATCGGTACATATGGGAAGGAATTGCAAGGGCAGCACTCAGATTGTTTTCCTCTGTCAGAGTTAACAGAAGCTTTAAATTAAGTCAGACAGATCTAGAGTTGAAGGGAGCTGGTCAATATAAATATTGGTAGCATGGTGGTGACTGGTGAGTCAACCACACTTTACACCAGACAGAAAAGGTAAAATTGCCCAATGGAAGACAAGGAATATCTTCACATCTAACATAACACGTAGGGAAAGGCCTTCGGTCGTTGGATTGCTGGCCATTAAGGATTTACAACGAACCTACGCACACACATACACACACACTTGCACGCACAGCAGCAAAATAAATATTGAATGAATGTGGAACAGAAACTAAGGAGCGACTTAGACGAGTCATAGGAGACAACACACACGCACACAAAGATCACACAGAAATATGAGCACACAGTAGGGCTTCAGGGCTCCTGTATCTCATTATAAGTATATTATAGTGTATAATAAGATTACATGTTGGCATTTAATTAATGTCCATCCTCTCTATCTCTTTCTAGGACTGTAGCTAACAATGGAGGACAGTTTTCTCCCTTGACAACCTAAGGTAGCTTGGTGGATATTTGGTAGGCTCAATTAAGTATAGTTTTGACTCAATATATATTACGTTTTTAATTACAGGGGCAAACAAAGGATATCGTCTTTTTGTACTAGATATGTATTACTGGCAGTGTGAACAGGTCTTTTAAATAGCATGAGTAATACAATTACATTCTATTGTATAGTATAAAGTTCCCCAAAAATAAAATAAACACATTTTTTAATGTCTGAACAAAAACTTGGCATTAGTAATAAAAAAATATGTATTTACAACCCTGCTTGTACTGTTTTGAACCTACAGGTACAAGACATGGGTCGAAGGATTTCCTGTCACAGTCTGCTTTCTCACTCACCTATTTTCTGCATTAACCTGGTAGTCACACCCTGTCTCTCTCTCTCACTCTGTTACACCCATCAGCTCCATTAGTATTTAGGCCCACTTCACTTTCACCTCAGTGCCAGATCGTACTTTGCAGCATGCCAGTCTTTCCCGCATTATCCTCCAGATTGCTCTCCCGGTTTCGACCCTCATGTCCCTGACCTGCCAAGGCACACAGGGGATAGGTTTTTAAACTGACGGTTCGAGATTACTAGTAGCCCACTATTTAANCACCCTGTCTCTCTCTCTCACTCTGTTACACCCATCAGCTCCATTAGTATTTAGGCCCACTTCACTTTCACCTCAGTGCCAGATCGTACTTTGCAGCATGCCAGTCTTTCCCGCATTATCCTCCAGATTGCTCTCCCGGTTTCGACCCTCATGTCCCTGACCAGCCTGCCTCGCCTGCTCCCTGACCCGGTCTGTACCTACGACTCCCGTCTTGCTTTCTCCTGGAACCCTCGCCTGTCCCCGACCAGCCCTTTGCCTACTATCTGCCGTTTTGTCTCCTACCAGCCTATTGCCTTTAATAAAGCTGGTTACAGACTATCCCTGGTTTCCTGTGTGTTGCATTTTGGTTCTCAGCTCGTTTGTGACATCTTCTTTACTTAGAGATCCTCCTTTTCACGAAGACACACCACCAAGCACCGGATAGCAACCTCTCTTATTCTTTCAACCGAATCATCCTTAAAAGGAGAACATTTTAATATTGAGAAAGAAAAACAAAGGCTTGTTTGCAAAAATGAAAATGCCGAGCATTGTCAGTTGCTGTTCATATTTATTTTTAACCCGTTTTTATCAAATTTAACGTTAATTCTAACAAGAAAAAATAAATATATATAAGTATATACATACTGTATTACAAATAATGAACTTTGACTACAACTGTGAAACAAAGGATACAGGAGGATACAAACAGCCTAATACAGTTGCATTAGTGCATGCTACAGTAACGTAAAGGGACATAGTAGCTAATGACTACCGTTACAGCTTGTCGTTACACTGTATGTGCAGTAAGGCAGCTGTTGTGGGCAGACGGAAGCTGAACTAATAATGGCTGTCGCTACTTACCGAGGCTGACTTGAATAGATTATTGCCGAGTTAAAATCTATGCTATACAGTGTCACTCACTTCCGATGAACGCAGATTCTACCATGTACTCAGAGTCGGTTCGCAAGTCCAGGTCGTGTGTTCAGTATTGAAACTAATACCGTTGCAAAAAACTCAGATAGGTATGAGTTATTCTTGATTAGTATATACAAGTTGAGTGAACGCAGTACAATATTTTGTCAAAATCGATTGCATTTGTGCATGTTACATTTTTTTTGTTGAATTTAAGTTTGTGCAGACTCAAACTAGAAATAAGTTGTACGTATAACAAAAAACTAAAAGGTCAATTTTATATGATGTTTGATATAGAGACAACATCAACATTATATCTATACATGATGTGACTAGAATCATCTTGTATTGTTATGGTCTTAAAAAGTGTTGTAATTTTAAGTGGAATACACTAACCATGCATCACGTACAGAGTAGCTGTATTAATGGCTAATGGATACATTCTAAAGTCAGTTGTTATACATCAGAGTGTTTCCACTTTCAGCAAGTTACTTATCACACTAATTAGCAGGAGAGACAGAAAAGCTGAACATGACATGTAAGTTTGCACTGAAGGTTGGTGGTCAATGAGTTATTAGAATTCCTGATCACTAATTGGTAGATGGTGAAAAGTTTAGCGATGATCGCCAGCATGTCAGATAATGAAGTACAGGACTTGGGTACACATGTCAGAAGTTTGAGAGAATCATATACTGCATGTCAGTGGAACGTACCAGGAAATGATGAGTTCTACTGTTTTACAGAGAGCAGTGCTTGGGACTGTCGAGATGCTGAAGGGAGAGGTTGTCCCTGATGTATCGAGTTGTGAACTTGGAGCTGTGATTAGTTTTTCATGAAATTCAATGACACACAACCTATATTGTTATTAACAGGTACCCTGACAACAACTTCAAACTTGTATTTCCTGATTAATGCTTCTGGAAGGATTGAGTCTCCTGCGAACAATCTCATTGACCACTGTTCTACCTCTTGGAGATTCTTCAAAACCGAGAGAAATTGTTCACAGAGGAAACTCAATCCTTCCAGCATAATCAGGAAATACATTTGGATTGTTGCCAGGGTTAACTGCTAATACAAATTGTTGTCATTGAATTTCCATGGAAAAAGAGAATCACATCCCCAAGACAACAACTTTGGTGACATTTCCAGAGGCAAAACCTTCTCCCTTCAGACACAACACACAGTCCCAGCCTGATCTCTGTAAACAGTAAGAGCCACAATCATTCCGTAAATATCACACACAATATATGGTCTTTCAATTCTGAAATGTTACTCCAAGTCTGTACCTTTTTTCTGGACATTCTGATCATCAGTCTAAACATCAACCTCTATTATTATGGCGAACAGAATTCATAATAACTCCAGTGACCACCGAAGTGCAAAATTAAATTGTATGTTCAGCTTTTCTGTCTCTCCTGCTAATTAGTGTGATAAGTAATTTTGCTGAAAGAGGAACAGACATGTAAAACAAATGACTTACAATGTCCATTACCATTGAATACAGCCTACACTCTAACGATTCAATGGGTTAGTAATTCCACTTAAAATTAAATAACTTTTTAAACACATAAACTTGTTAGTTTTTGACGTCAAACTTATTTTAGTTAGTCCTGTCCAACGAAAAAGACAAAAAAAATGTAACTTACAAATGCAATGATTTTGAAAAAAATATGTCCGGCGTTCACGTCAATTGGGATATACTAAGTTAGAATAACTCAATCCTATTGAGTTTCAACGGTTTAGTTTCAAAACTGAAACACACCCTGGAACTTGTGCCGCGACTCTGAGTTGGAGCAATCCGCGTTCATCCTGGAAGCAGAACACTTGATAGGCAGGAGGATTTATACCCTAATAATCTATCCAAGTTACCTGGATAAGTTAGCCATTTTTGTTCAGCTTCATTTACATAGCTGGCTTACTGCACATACAGTGTAAGCACAAGCTGTAGGTAAGTCCATTAGCTACTTGTTTTAAGCTACTGTACATGCCATAGCATACTGAATTAGTGATTGTATCCTCCTGTATCCTTTGTTTCACAGTTGTAGTCCAAGTCCATTATTGTAATACAGTATGTTATATACTTATATATACTATATTTATTTTCTGTTAGAATTAACGTTAAATTTGATAAAAACGGATTAAAAATAATATGAAACAGCACTGACAATGCTCGGCATTTTCATTTTTTGCAAACCAAGCCTTTGTTTTTCTTTCTCCATATTAAAATGTTCCTCCTTTTAAGGATGATTCGGTTGAAAGAATAAGACGAGGGTTTGCTATCCGGTGCTTGTGGTGTGTCTTCGTGAAAGGAGGATCTCTAAGTAAAGAAGATGTCACCAACGAGCTGAGAACCAAAATGCAACACACGGGAAACCAGGGATAGTCCTGTAACCAGCCTTTATTAACAGCAATAAGGCTGGCAGGAGACAAAACGGCAGATAGTAGCAAAGGGCTGCTCGGGACAGCGAGGGGTTCCAGGAGAAAGGCAAGACGGGAATCGTAGGTACAGGACCCGGGCACGGAGCAGCGAGGCAGGCTGGTCAGGGACAGGCAGGGATCGAACGGAGACAACTGGATGGAAATGGCGGAATACTGGCAGCACTGCAAAGTAGATCTGCACACGAGTGACCAATGATGTGCTATATACACTAATGAGCTGATGGGTGTAAGAGTGAGAGAAGACGAGAAGGGTGTCACTACCAGGTACAGGAATGGTTATATGCAGAAAAAGTGAGTGAGAAGCACCTAGGCAGGAGATGCTTAAATCTGTAACTTGGTTAACTGGAAACAAATGCAATGTTGTTCAAATCGATTGCAGCAAAAACAATCTGACATTTATTTTCTGGCTTATCAGATGGTGAGTGAAGGTAAGCTCTGAGGTGCTGAGATGTGCTTGACCAGGGGTGGCGATGCAGAATAGTGTTGCGAAGCAAAGTGCTTCAATCTCGATGCGCAAGACTGTTGTTAGCAGGACACCTGACTGTATTAGATCATAGTTGAAACATTGAATTCAGACGTGTTTTATCCTACTCGGTGCTCAGTGCGCCAGCAGCCAGAATCACGAGATGAAATGACAGGTCCGTCCGGTTTGCTGCCTGAATACGCATGTCACAGTTACAGTGTGAGTCTGTACGCTTAAACAAAACATCACAGTTTCTCCGTAAAACCACTAGCTGACGTGAAAATATGAACCGTCGCTTTTTCAAGTTCTTCTTATCTCTTTTTGGACTTTGATAAAGGCTTTTTTTTAATTCAAACATTTGTCAAGGAAAGCAGATTTAATGTAAAGCAATTACAGGATGATTAACACAGAACTGTACATTTCAGCTGTCATGTCGCATCCAGATGAACGCGAAACTGGAAATAAAACATTTGCAACTGGTCAATAAGTACATTGATAAACTGTAAAAGTGTGTAGTTTGCCGTTATTATCACATAGTTTACGCTCCTTACTGTTCACTCTCTAGCTGCGCGCTGACAGACACATGCATACCACCTTCTCCTCCAGAGCCAGTGTCCTCTACACTCCGATCTTCCCCATGCTCCTGCCTACCACACTAAAGATACCTGCGTAAAATGTAAAGATACGTCACGGCGTTTGTGAACCAGCAGGAGCCCAATCGCAGAATCAACAGCAACCTTCTTTATCTCAGGCTATGATAATAACTTTAACCAATGACAGACACGAACACTCGCAGAACTAAGTCATGAACAAGACGAACCCGATCCAAGGACAGCAAGAACCACAAACTAATAAACAGGACTCATCACACAACAAGGAGCACAGGTGAAGAGGGGAGCGAGCCACAGCGCCCAGGTGAACATCAATCGACAACATACGCCACGAAAACTGGATCCATTTTCGCAAATAAGCAATGTTTGTATGTTATCCGAAACTCTAAATGTAGCATATTACATATATTAAATGGTGTATAAGAAACGCCATTCGCAATACTTCTTTCATGCCTATCACACTCTGATCAAACGTGCTTTCCTATGTTTACGCACTACAGTTAACATGTGAGAACTTGCTGAGCCAACGCAGTTGTACTTCTGCTTTCTTACTCAATTTTTTATAAATATAAGCAAAATACTTACAAAAAAGCGCACTGGGATAGCAGCTTTTCTGCAACGTCGTGAAGTTGGTGAAAA